AAAAACTTGGTTTTTATCACCAGAATCGACTTTCCCTGGGGATTTGGCACTTTGCATGGACGGTGGGAGTGGGTTGGCGAGCAACCTCATCACTGTTTCCACCATGCTGTCCTGATGAGGGGAGGTGGTGCTGGGGGGGGAGGGAAGCGGGGGGAAAGCCTCCAGGCCTGAGCAAGGGCAGAATGGGACCCAGGGCACTGGGTGTGAGGGGCAGCCAGAGGCGTGAGGTGCCCAGCGGGCAGGAGCCCCATCCGGGTAACGTTTGGGAACGAAGGGGTTGGGAAGGAGGGGGGGCACCGTGTTGTGAGAAGGCTTGTCCAAGGAGCCAGGAGGGACTGGACTGCCTCTACGTAGATGGGAAGAGCCAGAGTGAGGCCACGGGGGAAATGACACCCCCACCCCATCCACCCCACAGCGCACGGCTTCTGGGGAAAGAGCGCTTTGTTGGGCCAGGGTGCCAGCAGGGGTAATGGAAGGAGCAATGGACCCTCCTGGTGAGAAACTGGATGGAGCGTTTCGGCTTCTTGTGCTATAAATCTGGACACTTCTTTCTCCCCCCCCCCACTGCACACACACACACAGACACACAAACACACACACACACACACACACACACACACACACTACTCTCCCTGCCTGTTCTTGTCTGCCAGGGCGGGGTCTCGGTTTTTTAGACAAGTGCACAGCAGGGGCTGGAATTCATCAACTTTTAGTGCCTGTGTCAGGCGGCCAACAGCTCTTGTGTGCTGGTAGCGTTCCCCTCATGAGCATCCAACAGCTTCAATACTCTTAATCTTGCCCTTTGTCATGTGTTCTCTCTCTCTCTCTCTCTCTCTCTCTCTCTCTCACACACACACACACACACACACACACACACACAAAGATGATGGGTTCCAAGCCCTTGAATGCCAGCCAGAGTTGGAGAGCGCTGGGGTGGAAGGGGGGGGCCTTCTGCCCTCCTCTCCTGCAGCCGGTGGGCTTCCCAAAGGCTGCTCCCTTCTGGGGTCCGGTCCATCCTCAAGGCTGCTCTTCTACACACTTGCGCTTCAGCACCTGGTGGCTAAAAGATGGAGCCCTGCGGATCAGGCATCCAAATGGGTAGAGCAGCCCTCCTGGTGGCCGGGTGCAGGAGTGTACCCCGAAAGTAGACAGCCAGGAACCCCAAATCATCAGAAACCAGGAATGCCTCTCCACCAAGAGGATTTCGCCCCCCCCCCGTACGCACACTGTTCCAAAGAGACGCCCTCCCTGGGGACAGCCAGGCCTTGAAGGCTTGCACACCCTGCTCCCGAGGTGGCCAGGGAGCCAGCCAGCCGTTCCTGCCTTTGCCTCTGGCCTCCTCACGCCCCCACCCCTTTTCTGAGAACAGGTGCCGCTCATTGGGGGGGCGCTGGGGGAGGGAGAATGTTTGGCGAGACCCTCAGCAACCCCACCTGGATACTGATGGTGAAAACACAATGATTCTAGAAGCCAGCAACATCTGAAATTTTGTGTGTGTGTGTGTGTGTGTGTGTGTGTGTGTGTGTGTGTGTGTGTGTGTGTGTGTGTGTGTGTGTGTGTTGTGTCCCCGTCCGTGCGCGCACACGGTTTTGGTGTGTTTTTTTTCCAAAGAAGTCTAGACAGGAACTGTTCTGCTTTGGGGCCTCCATATGCTGAATGTTTTGTATTCTTAATTTTTTTCTCTCTCCTTCTTTCTCCCCCCCCTCTTTGGGCCCTGGAGAGTTTCAGGCTTCTAGGTATATATATTTAATGCAATAAATATGTTAGCAAAGCCTTCCCCATCTCTCTCTCTCTCTCGCTCTCTCTCATTTCCCCCCCCCCCCACACACACACACACAATTTCCAACTTCAATTCCTCTTAGAAGACTTTAGGTGCATCAGGCAGAGGGGTCAGGCTCTTCCTTTGCTTTGTCTGGCATCATGTTTTACAAGTAAAGGGGAGATGGTCTATTCCCAATTGCCAGAGGGATAGCAGTTAATCAGAAAAAGAGTAAGGAATGACAGTTCTGGCTTTAAAAAACCTGGCAGGTCTGTCCCCTTTGGTTTTGCAAGGCAAAGCGTCAGAGGTTGGGGCAAGCAACAGTCCCCCCCCCCCAAGCTGGTTTCTATAAGGAATCGGGAGGAGCCGCTCATCTCCTCCCCAGTCCAGTCTTGTCAGATGCTGCCCAAATCCACACAGGAGCAAAGGCAGCTTCGGATCCGTTTGTGTCTCCCCTAAGAGGAGCCGGTGGTGGTGGTGATGGTTAGAAAGGCACTGGCTGTGGGGCCAGAGGAGCCCCACTTGGGTGCAGAAAATATCCAGGGCTGGAGAGGAGGGGGAGGAAGGAAGCTGAAGGGTTTATGCCAGGCTGGTACCTTCAAACTCTGGGGCATCTTTCACGGGGGGGGGAGGAGGGTCCCTGAAATGCTGACTTGGCAGCTGTTTCATTTCCCCCAAAGGGCCCTGCAGCCCGCTGTTTAAAGTCCCCAAGCTGGCTTTCGAGAGCCACAGTTTGCCTGCCACTTACTGTTCTGAAACCCCACCTTTTCCACATCTGTAGATCCCTAGGAGGGCTTTGATGGCACCAGGGAGGGAGCAGCTGTGCACGAACCGATTCACGTCTGTACTTGAAGCCCAAATGCCAGCACAAGCCTCAGTGGGACTATAAGGCCCATGCCATGAAATAAGGAAGGGGCTGGGAACTCAAGGCACGCTCAGCCTCCACCCGAGAGGGCTTTGACTCCTTACATTGCCCAGCTGTGTCGACGTCCTGGTCCAGAGAGACAGCAGGGGGGGCCGTGTCCCTCTCAAGGGGCTCCCTGTTACGCCAGCCTGGCTTGCAAGATGACGTTCCTGCAGGAGAGCTGCTTTCTTCCCCTGCTTAGTGGGCCTGTGCCAGCCAGCCAGCCGGCTCTCTTTGGCCGGTCCAGGTGGTTCAGAGGCAAAGCCAAGAAAAAGTCTGGTGCGTCGCAGGTGTGCCCTGTGGCAGCCTGGCAGAAGCCAAGCTGTGGGTGGCGTCAGGACTCAGGAGGGATCTGTGCAGATGGCCCCGATTCCTCCTTCAGTGTAGCCCTTCTGATCCAGAGCAGCAAAACACAAGGGTGCCACTGCTTAGGGGCCCCGTCTATTGCAAAAGCACTCCAGAGGCCTTCACTCTGGATGGCAGTCATGGACTCGCTTCCTTAGGTTCTGCCTTTGGAGGGGATGAAAACCATTCTCAGTCAAGAAAGGAGGGTTCGCCCTCGGGGAGCCAGCCATGGCCTCATCCAGGTGGGTCCATTATTCTACCATTCAAAGGAAGGGACCCTCAATGTCGGGCTGCGTTTGTCATTTGGCTCTGCCATGGAGTTACGAGGAGACAAGGGTGCCTGGGACCCATTTGAAGGCAATAATAGAGTTGTGGGGGGCGGGGAGTCTGTGGGTCAGTTGGTTGAATCCTTCATTTTTGCAGCTGAAACAGGGTTGGAAGACACCAAACGCAGGCAGAAACGTGGTGATCTATGGGTGTCAGAGAAAAATGCAAGGAAGTGCCAGGCCAAAGTCTAGATGAAAAATTGGCTCCTGAACGGGCAGCAAACGGGAGCCATGGGGCTGCGTGAACGGCTTTGGCAGAGAGGACTCCAGCAGCTGCTGTCCGGGTTTCTTTTCAGTTTGTACAGAAGCGGCCTGCTTAAGAGCAGATCCTGCTTCGCCTCTTCCTGGTTTTCATGCTCCGGATAGGCTGTGCTCACATTAGTTTGTCCGAATGTTTACTAAACATATAATACTTGGAGTGCATGATCTGAAGCCTTTGGAGGGTGGGTTGCAGGAATTCCGACCCATCTGTTTCTGATGACTGACATGGAGCAGTATTTCTCAGGTTTGCTTTCTTCCACATTTGTGTTTTTAAAAACCTCCAGTTCTTCCTGCCACAAATACAAAGAACTGATGAATCCTTCAAAAACAAGCTGAAACAAAATTCTCTTCTCCATCTGCATGGACCAAACTCAGTTGGTGCAGCTCCTCAAAGGATGGAGAAGGCTCTCCTGCCAGACCTGTTGACCATATAACTGATAAAAGAGGAAGAGGCATCAGTGTGGACATTGCTGATAACACATGGATTCAAAGCTAGACTTTTAGGCATTAAACATGCAAACGTTGCCCCCTGAGTCAGCAAGTGAATCTGTTGGCCTCAGTTCTGGAATTAAAGTGAAACAATTTGTGTTTGTAGTACCTCAAGCTCTTTCCATTCCAAATATCAAAAGGTTTGCAATTTTGATAAATTGTTATCAAAAAACTGAAGCAAAACAATCACCCATCTCTGTATTTGAGGATATGCATTGATGCAGTGATTGATAGCACTTGACGGTTGGTATAATATTTACATGTCTATCTTCACAATACTCGAAGCAGAATAAGATTTCATACCTGTGAGAGCAATCAAAAAATAAAGCCAGCGGAACCCAAAGCACCAGAATTTTGAAACAAAATGTTACAATTTTGAATTCCAGAATTTGAAATCCTAGTCAGTTTCAAATATTGCAAATGTTAATTTCAACTCTAAAGTAAAAGCAATTTGTTCTGGGCTTCATGGACATGGGGCAGTTACATCTTGGCAAGTCCCGAGCCACCCCTGCGGAGATGGCAGAATCCTCACTAGAGTTGAACCTTTAAGACCATTATGTATGCAGAAGAATCACCTGGGGACCATACCACTTCAAGGTGCAGGGGTGGACTGGATGCCTAAATTCCCTGCAGGCACAGGTTCTGCACCCACAAACCACCATTTGTCCTGCAGGGTGCAAGAATCTTCTGAAATCCTAGAGGATGGTGGGGTTCAATCCTAACAGCATGATGGAATCATGCCAAGGCAAGGATCTTGGAGGGGGGGCAGCCCTCCCAGGTTACATGTTGCCTTGCGGGTGTGCCTTAAAGTTCGGCTTCCCTGTTGTGTCCCTGCGTTGGCTGCCTTCACCTGGCAGCCCAGGTGGAAACACGGCATGCCCCCCTCTGACTGCTGTCCCTTGGTTGTGTCTTCCAGGGTGTTAATGGAGAAGAGGTCGGATGACAGCCGGGACTGTGGTCATCACAGGTGGAATATTAGCAACCGTCATCCTACTGTGTATCATTGCTGTCCTCTGCTATTGTAGGCTTCAGGTATTCTGAGGAAGGGGTTTGGATGGGGGGGGCGAGGGAGGTTGGGGAAAGGGAACCGGGCAGGACTTTCAGCTTCCCATGAGAGAGAGTAGAAGTCCTGTAGCAAGCAACTGGCCAAGGCCGGCAGGAGACAGGAAACTACGGCTGATCTAGTTGGGGCAGGATGCAATCGGCTGCCCACATAGCCAGCGCAACGGGCTCAATCAGGCATCCCTCAAGCAGATGGCAAAGCTTGCATGGAAGTGAGCCGTGTGCAGGAGGGGAGGACAGTCTTGAGAGACGTCGGCCATCCCAACATCTGGTGGAAGTCGTCTACGCTGGCTGGAGCTGGACTGGCCAACGCAGGCTCCTTTCTTCGCCTGGCTCCTGGCTCCCAACCTCATCTTGGAGGAGAGGGAAGGGACGCAGGGGTCTGCAAGGAGGAAAGGGCTGCTGGGCTGTCTCGGAACTTGGGGAGGAAGTCACTTTGTCCTCCTGGAATTTGTGAGAGCCAGGTTTCCCGTGTGCCAGGAGCTGGCCAGGTTTCAAGGCATGGACATGCCGTGGCACTGTGGAGGGTCAGCCTCCTCCTCCGCCTTGTGGGGCAGTGTCAGGGGAGCCCCAGCCGAAAGGGGGCAGAGGGGGGGCAGGGGGTGGGTGACCTCCTCGGTAACTGTCTGCTTCCCTGTCTCCCTCCAGTATTACTGCTGCAAGAAGGAGGAATCCGAAGAGGACGAAGATGAGCCGGACTTTGGGGCGGACTCCCACATCCCTCCCCTTCACTGCAACCGCAACGTGGCCCTGACCAACGGCCCCTCCCTCTACCGCTCCTCGTCCTCTTCTTCTCCCTACAAGAAGGCCTCCTCGCAGGGCCGGACTCTGTGCCACAGCTGCTCCCACTATGAGCCGCCTTCCTTCTTCCTTCAAGAGCCAGAGGAGGAGGAGGAGGAAGAGGAGGAAGAGGAGGACGAAGAGGTCCGGAACGGAGGCAACCTGGTCAACTATAAGGCCATCAGCCAGGAGGACCTGGAGGCCCCCGCTGGCTTGGCTGGCCTCCAAGCCCTCAACCCCAACCGGCTCTCGGCCATGCGCGAAGCATTCTCCCGCAGCCGCAGCATCAGCACCGACGTCTGACCAGCCTCCGCCGCTGGCGGGGGTTGGCGCCGTCCTGGGCTGGGGGGCAGCATGTGGGCCCTTAAGGGTGCCCGTTTCCTCTGCCCTTGAGGCTTTTTAAAAAGCGGTTCCTGTTTTAAACAAAGGAAATCAGTGGGAAGGGGGTGTTTTAAAATGAGAAATTCATGTATTTATGTGTCGTTCTGTTTATCCAAATCCCTGTTGGTAAAGCACAGCATAAACGGGAAGGTGGAGGAGAGCACAGAAAGGGGAGCAAGTGGGCCTTTTTCTAAGGCGGAGTATGGACCATGACCGAGATTTTGACCACTGAGGAGCCCCCATTATTTTCTGCCCCATTGAAGAAAGGGCGGAGCCCCTTCCTGAGCAGAAGCTGGGCAGGGGGCAGCCCATGGTGGTTTTTTGGGTGGCCCGTCGGATGATGGCTTCAGGCCCACAGGTCTTGCCCCTGAAGGCCAAGCATGGCCAGGAGGACCTGCTCCCGGAGGGGGGGGGCTCGGCCTTCCAGGCTAGGCTGCCTGCCCCTCCCACAGGCCTTTGGGGCCGACCGAAGCAGCTCACTCTCCTGGGGCTGTGTGTCTTTTTGTAGCCGATCCTTTAGGTGCACCAGAGGGCACCCATGCTCTGGGCAGAGGAAGGCAAGAGGGAAGGAAGGCCCCTTGCTCTGAGGAGACCTTCTGGACCCCGGGGACTCAGATCTCATCCCTTCCATCCCTTGGTGCCCCTGCAGCCCTGAGCCCAAGAGAAGAAGGGGTGCTTTCTGCCGTCCAGGAGGAAAAGGGGTGGCCAATCCTGCTCCACCAGCAGCCCCCCCCCCATTATCTTGGCTGATGCTACCGGGCCATCTCCTCCGCAAGGCCACTCCTGGCTTCCCACCTCATGCCTGCTTCCAGCGGACCAGCTGGACAGAGTGTGCCACTATAAAACCCACACCAGATCATCAGCTGGCAGCGCCCCTGGGCTCTTGGGGGTGAGAAATGCTTCTATGGGATTGCACTCACGCTTCTCAAAGGAGTCCCCTTGGGCCCTTCCAAGGAGAAAGGTGGGGTAAAAATAATTTACATAGATAAATAAAAAGAATACGATAGGATGCTAAACCTCCCTGGTCTTCACACCAATATGGGGAACTGGGCGCAGGAAGCCGTTTTCCTGGTTTGGCTGGCATCCTGCGTAGCGACGCCAGGGACGAGTGATGGGAAGAGGCCAGTGAGGCAGCAGACACCATCTTGACTCCCCTGCTAAGCCACAAGCAGGGAGGATCCTTAAGTGCTCCTGGGGGCAAGTGTGTGTGTGTGTGGGGGGTGTCTCTGGAACGGGGGGGGGATGCACAATTCTGCTCATACTTGAGTGGAACGAGTGTTGATTTCAATGGCAGTGACGAGGTAGAATAGCCGAGAAGACGACGACGGGATTCTGCATTTGTGACACAGCCCTGGGAGAGGGGGAAACGATACCATGATGGCCAACAAAGTCACAGGTTGCGCCGAGTTCTAGCCAGCGAGGCCGTGGAGTGCAGTGTTGTGTGGAAATGTTGTAGCACCTTTTATCAGCAGTTCATGACCAGTGCAGAATAAGGACCGGGAGATTTAAAAAAAAAAACAAAACCAGACAGGATTCCGGAGGAGAAAACTCAGTCTGCGCCTGCTGTTCTCGAAATGGAGCCCATCCTGGGAACGTTTTCTGCCACGCACGCGCATACACCCTCCCCGCCATGCAGGCGCTCGTTCCTGCAAAAAACCCTTGTCTCCATCCCCATCTGCAACCGTTAAAATAAGAACCAGTGGGGGGGGGAGGGGTGTCGGCTCAGGACACCGCCACCCAGGAGATTCTGGGGGGGGTCAGCTCTAAGAACCCCCTTCTTCTGAGAGCCCAGAAAGGCCAGCCAGAGAACAAGGAAGGGCAGCTCCGTTCTCCATGGTGGGCACTTTCTGCTTCTCACGCAGGCTCAGGAGTGGCCGACCAATCTGTGCCCTGCAGGGAACCGGATTCAGGCTGATTCAAAGACTTACGTTGGTGCATTTTTTTTATTAGTTTGTTTGAAGCAAGGAGAGTTTTACTGGGCCTGGTGGGGGACGGAGTCAAAACGCCACATGCCATGGGCAAACTTGGCCAGGAACATTGATTTTTTCAACCAATGGGCATCTTTCCCAGCAAAGTCAATTCTTTGATAACTTGGCATTGCCACTCGGCTCAGGTATCAGGAGGGTTTTTGCTTCCAATTTCTAACAAGAGTCCCTATCCTGCCTGGGCCACATCTTATGGAAAGCATTCCTGTTGCTTTGTTCTGTCTTTTAGTGATCTGACATTATAGCAGCTGCTTCCATAGAATTCTGAATAAATTTTGTAAACTTCTTTGATGTTGCATTTGTTTCAATGGAATTTTTAAGACCGCAGGGCTTTGTTGCATTTAAATTGTGGCTATGTTTTATCTTCCTATTTTTTGTTTGTTTGTTTTTCCTTGTGCATCTTTTCAGATAAGTGAACCATTGCCTGAGTTTTGATTCACTTTCCCATGTGGTAAACCTGCACAGGACTTCTGGACTCTCTGGAAACAAGAATTTTAAAAATAAACCAGTTGTAACTTTGCTATCAAGTGAGACGTGTTTCCTTTCATGGTTGCAGAGAAGACCCAATTGGGTCGCTTTGAAACAGGAGGTGGACCAGGGTGCGTTTCCCAGTTTTGGGAAGCTGCAGGACAGCTGGGGTTTGCCTGGCAGTAGTGCGGTAGGGGGAATAGTTGGCTCCACCTGAATGGGGATTCTTGCAAATGCCAAAGCTGTAGAGACCGCCTTGGCCTGCATCGTTCATTCTCATCTCCAGCTGAGCGACCTGCTCTCTAAGGATAGCTTTGTAGCCCAGGGCTCAGACCACAAGGAGCCCCAGGGAGGGGAGGGGAGGGGAGGGGAGAGGGCAGCCCCTGCACCCAGGTCATTTTCTCCCCCTCCCCCCCTTTCGCAGTTCCAAACCAAGGGAAAAAATGTCAGGAGCACAACCAGCTGGTACCATAAATATGACCAATTTTTTTATTTAAAATATACATACGAGTATAGTTCTATAGTTGTGGGGATAAAATTCACCGTCTGTAAACAAATATATTTTAAAAAAAAGAGCACCCTGCTCTTTTTGTGGCATAAAGTGCAGTTATGTTTTCATTATTCCATACTATAAGCTGGTGTTACGTGGTCGTTTCCATTACACGGCACAGGCCTGGGGCTTGGGGCTTCGTCTCCAGTTGCCAGGATCGCGTGCCTTCCTTTGTCTCCGGTCACCTCCCACAAGCATGGCTGTGGAGTTCTGTTTTTTCAAAGGCTGAGACTGCTGGCCTTAAATGAACAGCCAGCAAAGGGATGCAGTGTAGCTGGGTAAGGCGGGGGTTGGTGAGGAGAGGGGCCGCTTAGTGAGGGTCCCCCAACCATGGCCTGCCATCCAAGGACAGCTTTCCCTCTCTGGAGTCAACCTCCGAAACCAGCAGGTTCTCTAAACTGGAAGCCGAAGCTGAGAGCCGAGCATCGACCAGCTCCCTCTCCATCAGCCTCTCTCGGCCTTGGGAACTGCCTGGCAGTCATCCTTGCAATTTTTTTTTCAGATCTCATTTCTTTTAAGGAAGTAGCAGACAAAGGCATGAAGGGAGTAGCATATACAGGAGGCAGCTAGAACATATATATTTACAGGCCGTTTGCCTCATGCTAAGCCAGAACAGAAGCGGAAAGAGATCCGTGGCTGCCTGGCCAGCATTTGGATTCCATCAAACAAATGGCAAATGGGTCCCAGGCAGGAGAAATGGCCCAACTCTGCCATTCCTGCTCCTGAATAACAGGTTTTCTTTAAAGAAAATCCAGGCCGTTTCATCTTTAACGCACACCTGATGAAAAGTCTGCAGGTCAGAAAGATTCCAGATGTACATTTGTGCAAATCAAAACACGGAAAGAGAGTGGGCTTATACAGAACCACTGTGGAGAGAGTGGGCAGGAAGAGAGAAGAAGAAAAGGACAAGAGGCTCTTATCATCTCCCAAGGCAGGGGGAACGCTCAGAGCCAACGCCGGAGCCTCGAGGGAAAGGTTTCAGCTTCTATATACACAACTTTCCTGTGTGAGCAGCGGAGGCACGTGACAGCAGTAGCCAAGTTACGGGTTGGGGCCACGGATGATCCTCCCACGTCCCTCTGCTCTGGTGCCTGACAAGAGGGAGGCACCAGGCGAGCCAGGCACCTCGCTTTCATGGGGCCCTTGGCCTTGCAGAATGGGTGCCCCCCCCTCCAGTCCCCCAGCGGAATCTCCTGCCCCTTGCTGGCTGCAGGTCCCTCGCTCCTTCCAGGCCTGGCTTAGGTGTTGGGGGCTCGGCAGGACCGGCAGCAGGCTTTGCTGTAATACCAGTGGCTGCAGAGGTTCACCTTGATGGCCAGAGCGCAGTTGGTCCCGGACTGGTCCTGGCAACTGTCATCTGTGGAGCAGCAGGACACAGGCGGGCAGGTCAGGAAGGGGAGCCCGCCCAGCTAGTTAGATTGAGAGAGAGAGAGAGAGAGACCACCACCACCACCACCACCACCACCACCACCACCACCTCCACCACCTCGGCTCAGGCCTCTCCTGTGCCACGAGTGGGTGGCCACGACGTGGGGAAATCTGCCTTTTGGATGCCTGTGGGGCTTCCCTCAACGGAAGGTGCCCCCTCCTCCCCTTGGACCCAGGCAATGGGAGTCTCGTGGACATGCCCTGCCCCCCCGGTCCCAACCCTTTTCCACTCTTGCTGCCTGGTAGTCACAGGCTGACGCTCACCGCTGACGCCACCCCCCAGGCCAGAGCTTCTTCCCAGGAGAGAGCGGAAAGCTGACCGCAGCCCGAGGACCGTGGTAAAGGCATTGCCATTACTCCCTGGTCGTTTTGCCAAGGAGTGCATTGGGAGCAAATTATCTGGGCAGGAAAGGCTAACCTTCTGGGCAGGGAAACAGGATTCAGAGACCAAGGTCTAAGTTCAGGATAGGTGATCATGAACTGCCTCACATCAAGATCACAGTTTAATCCTGTTAACCTCTATAAAAGCATGCAAGTAAGTCTCGACACAAGAACCTCTGGGGCACGGGCTGGCTTCCCGAGGTCCAATGTGGCCATGGGGCTGCCGCCTCGGGCCGGTCTCTGACTGAGGAGGAAAGGCAACCATGTGCCAGCCCCTGGAAAGTTGGCTCTCCCTGTCGCTCCCTTACCTGGGGGTTCAGTCGGGCAGGGCTGCAGGTCACACGTCTGCTTCCCCACCGGCTTGACCAGAGGGTCACAGCCTCGGACGAGATCCTTCCCCTGGTAGCACTTGACGTCTCTCATCCGCACACCAATGCCACAGGTCTTTGTACACTGTGCATGTGAAACAGATGGATGAGTTGAGTTTGTCCGGGGGGGGGGCACCGCACGGGCACAGAAGCTTGGAGGTGTAAGAAGAAAGGCGAGGAGAGGCGAGAGGTGGGGGAGCCGTTCTGCCTGCCTTTTTGTTTTTCAGCAGGCAGGGCTGGGCGTCATGCAGAGCTGCTTCCCGGGCAGAACGGGATGAGGCGGAAGCCTTAAGTGGAGCAGCCGAAAGGGAACAACTCCAGTTGCTGAGCCAGATGGACCTGCCTTTGCCTCCCGAAAGTCTGGCTCTCAAGAGAGGCAAGCAAGCGCCTCCCCTCTGTGGACCCCCAGACGGTCAGAGGAGCATCTTGAGGGAACCGTTGGGGGAGCGAACCTGTGCCGTCCGTTTCCCCCCCACCCCCCGCCCCCAAGAAGAGAGCCCTCGACCCAGGGAGGGAGACACACTCCTAGCGCCTCGGCACAAGTTGCAGGAAAGGCCGGGCAGGGCAGGGAAGAGCAGAGCAGAGCAGAGCTGAACTCTCCTTCGCCTCTGGGCGTCTGCCAGGAGCTGATGAGGCGCCGGCCCCCGTGCCAAGGCGAACCTTTCGCTGCTGCTGCTGCTGCTGCTGCCTTGGTGGCTTGGGGCAGGAGTCAGCCTGCCAAGAGGTAATCGGAACTGGGTGTGCTTTTTTTCGAGAGCATGGAGTTCGGCTGGAGGAGCCCATGGAAAAAAAAGAGGCTTTTCCTGCCATTCAGTGCAGTAACGGAAAGCGAACCCAGAACGGCGACTGGCATGGGACGAACGAGGGCCGCGGCCGGCAACGTTAGCCGAGCCTTGTGTTGTCACAAGCATCGGAGCTGCGCTTTTGCATGCACTCCGCTGCCAAGGGGCCACTTTTTGGCTGTGTTGGTTCAGGTATGAAAGTGCCATATGGAGGGGGAAAAGGAGAGGAGGGGGAAAAGACGACCTTAAACTGAGCCTGAGACAAACTGCTTTCCCCCCTTCCCCCCCCCCGCAAACCACCAGCACTTCCACTTCTCCCTCAAGGGTCTTGAACAGGCTCTTTTTTAGGATGTCTGGCTGACAGGCGAGATGCTGCTGCGTCTGCTGGGGGGTTTTTTGGAAGGTGATTACACCACCATAAGCCATGCTGCAAGGTCTGGTACCCCCTGCCAACTAGAACAGGCTAGAACTGCCCCCCCCCAATAATCTCCCAGTTGCCAAG